GATAGAGATGCGGAAAGATAAGGAAAGGAGGTGAAGGAACGGAGATGGAATGAAAAGGAAGTGAGGGAGGGGGGCAAAGGAGGTGAGGGAGCGAGCAAGGGAGGAAGGGTAAGAAAATAAATATTTTTTTATCCATAAACAAGTCTGTATATGTACGTCTGCTCTGTCTAAGTTTGTCTGTGCCAGTTCCTGTCTCCCCCTGCGCCTCTTCATCGATATGCATAGTGTCACTGGCTGTTTCCATCCATCCGTCTCTAGTATTCTTTCGTTCCCCTGTCTGTTTGTCTGTCCATGGCTCTCCACCTGTCCGTTGTTCTGTTTGTCTGCCTCAGTCTTTCTGTGCCTCCCGGCCTATTTGTCTGTGTTCACCCAACTCCTTCCCTACCAAAACACAGACGCCAGTCACTGACAGGCAAACCACTGCCTAGCAAGCTCGTGCTGACTGGATGCAAACGGGGGGTCAGTATTTACTATCAGTAGTCAACAGGATTTTGCCCCAAATCAAAGATAGCACCGCAAAATGTGGGCCCTGAACGGGACGACAGACAAACTTATCAGGGATGGCAGACAAACCCCTGATAAGTCTATACAAACCACTGACCAGTAGGAGGCCCCGTTGGCCTCAAAGGGTCACTGGTCACTGTCAGTCATTAGCAGGGGCGCCACCAGATATCAAACAGAGTGCCGGCGAGATGGTCATGGTGGTGGGAGAAGACAGAGAAGCCCCTGATACATATCCCCTATGACCTGCAAGGCAAAAAAAACAACAAAAAAAAAAACTACCGTCTTCACGTGAACAGAACGCACAGTCATTATAGCTGTATCTAGACTGAAAGATGCCTCAAATACAGCTATAATGACCGTTCGTTGTATTCAGGGGAAGAAGGTAGGAGTTCTCCCAGAGCTGGATGGATTTTGCTGAAGTAGGCTTAGCCTACTCCAATTTATTGGGAGTAAAATACTTGCGCAGGAGCGAGGGTACTCGGACTAGGGATGGGAACGGGCTTTCCTGTTGCTTTTTTCAGTATATAATAACTAGGCAGGGAAGAAGTTGTTTCACCTCAATCTGAGTGGCCAGAGCGGAAGGGTTGAGACTGTGGCGACAGCTATCGCCATATAGGTGTGACGAGAGGACAAGGACATACGCCATCATATTAACGCTCTAATCTTCTTTCTCATTTTCAGAGGCAATGTGCTACTTTTCTCTCAGTTCTGCATTACTTGTACTAGGAGTTCTCCCAGAGCTGATGAGAGCAGACAGGAGATTCACATCAAAGCTGAAGTTGAGCTTCAATGAAAAGAAGGCACTGTACGTCTATGACAAGCTAAGGCAGTGGATGGGGTGCAACATGCGCACTTATGTCAAAACATGCAGCAAACTTACAGCAAACTCAAGTAGAACTTGTCCTTCGGGACATCCGTTAAAATTGGCACGATACAGAGAAGATTAGCAT